CATAAAACTCAATGTCCTTGATTATCTATAATATATTAGCTAACTTCTCCAAAGCACCACATATTGTAGCAGAATACAGAGAAGCATTTTAAGTAGACATAGCTTCATTAATAGATGCAGAAGCATAAACTAATTTTTAAATTTGATTTAAAAGAAAATTTATAAAAAAATTTATACTACCTGAATTATGTTTTTAATATTTTTACTTTATATTATGGGGTGGGGCAGTCTTAATCGATAATTGTGTGTCAATTACAATTAAGCTTTCAAGTCCATAAGCATTTGCAATATTAGCCTCATTATCATGTATTTCCTCATCAACTGATGACTCTTTTATCTCATCTCTTACTTTAAGAGGTAGAATATCCAAGCTTTATAGTCAAACATCCTCCTCTGCAGTTATTCAATGGATCAGGTTGAGCTATCGTAGTTAGTCGGCACAAGGACGATTCATGATAAATTTTTGGTATTAGAGAAATTGATTTGGAGGAATTAAGCTATAGTCAATAAATGACATAGAGTTTTTTGGTAGTTTAAGATTAATTTTCTTTCTTACCGATTTTCTTATAAGCTATATTAAGTTAATTCATGTGCATATCAAGTATAAGTATTAGAAAATTATGGACGCTCTAGATCAGGACATGACAGAAAGACAAAGTTTTAGTTACGTTGGGGCAATACATATTACAATGAGAGTTGTTTTATCATATTTCACGAGTCAGTTTTTTTTTTACCGGCATAATGTGTGATGCTCAGAGCAAAATGTCTACTTCGAGAGTTGAGAGAGGAGATAGACATTTATAATTATATTTTAGATTGAAACCATGTCATTTCAAAGGGGCAGTGGAGCCTCAAGTAGTTGAGGACTGGTTAGTAAGATTAAAGAAGTCCTTTGTAGCATGTAGAGTTTAATGAACTATAAGGTAACCCTAGTAGTGTTTTAACTTAATGGTGAAATTGAATAATGGTGGCTAGGCAAGTAAAGGAAGATTTTTTAAGGCTAGCTAAATGCTGAGATTAATTTTGAGTAGTTTATTGCTACTTATACAGATTGGTTTGTACATTCATCAGCTAGACACTATATGCAATAGTATTTTTTTATATTGGTTCACGGGAACAAGAAAATAATTTGATATAATGTTAAATTTACTACATTGGCTTGATATGCTTCACAATTAGTTAGTACATCAGAGGAGAAGTACTATTGAATTTTTGGAGGATTTAGGGATAATTTGAACATCTAATCGTTCCATCCAAGATCAAAATGTCACTTAGTTAGTTTAGAGAGAGAGATTGATAAAAAATAATTTGATATCTACTCACCAATATTTGAATGTGATCTGAAAGATATTTGATGATGAATCTTCGAAAAGGGGCGTTGTTGAGAAGAATATTCAATTTGGGTCATATGATTCTGGGAGAGTGTCTACAACTTCTAAGAGCAAGGGTTCATCTATCTCAGTGAGTAGTGCTCCAAATTATACTTCATGTCAAAGGAGACATCAAAATTAAGGTTATTTATTTTATGGACAGTGTTTAAAGTGCGGTTAGCTTAGCCATAAGACAACACAGTCTCTCTAAAAGCATTTGAGAGTTGATCTAATGCTTTAATAGACCAAACGGTTGATAAACAACAAAAGATGGTTCCATCAAGAACTTTTAGTGAAGGATCAAGTGGTAGGGGCCATGGGAGATTCACTAAAAGTTTTGTAGAAGAGAGTAGAGATGTTATGTTGCTCATGTTGCTATTGTTTTAGCTCATCTTGAAGTTCATGATCTGACTCAACAAGATGCTAAGGATGCATATGATATTGTGACAAGTATAAATTTCATTTATGCACAACCAAGTAAAATTTCATTTGATTTTGAATGTAGCAATTTATTTATATTTGTGAGATTTGTTGCTTGATTGAGCTTACTTCCCATTACTTTAGCTTATGGATTTCTATTATATTATCAATTGAAGATTATTTGATGGATAATCAAGCTTGTATCTGTGATGTGAAGATTTTAGATAGAAAGTTAGAGCCTGAGTTAAAAGTATAGTTGTAGAAGTTGTCGGGTAGAAGTTTTATCGGACCCAGTTTATCTTATTGGGTTGTACCTACATTGTTTGTGAGAAAGAAGGATGGCATGATATATATGCATCGATTATAGAGATTTGAATGAGATGACCATTAAGAACAAGTATATATCATCCATGATTGATGATTTATTTGACTAGTTTGAAGGTACAACTGTGTTTTCAAATATATATTTGAGATTTGAGTATCATCAGTTGGTGGTAAAAAATAAAAAATTAGCGAAAATAGCTTTTAGTACTCGTTATGGCCGCTATGAGTTTTTAGTTATGCCTTTTGGTGACTAATGCCCCAACTATGTTCAAGGATTTGATGAACCGTGTATTCAAATCATTTATAGATAAATTTATTATTATCTTTATTAATGATGTATTGGTATTTTATATTTTTAAAGATGATCATGCAACTCATTTGAGATTGATGTTGGAGACATTAAACAATATCAATTATATACTAGGTTCTTGAAGTGTCACTTTTGGTTAAAAGTCATATATTTTCCAAGCCAAATAGTGGTGATAATGGTCTTTTTTGTTGATCCCAGAAAATATAGAGTGTTGTTGATTGACCAATATCAACTATAGTGTTTGAGGTGCATTGCTTTTCTAAGCATGACATGTAATTGTAGAAAGTTTGTTAAAGGTATTTATTAAATTATAATTCCTCAGACTATATTGACTTAGAAAATAGTTCATTTTTATTGGACACCAGCATGTCAAGTTAATTTTCAAAGTTGAAAGGATTGTTTGTTTGACACTTGTTCTAAAAATATAATTTGGTGCAGAGGGTTTTCAGGCATTTATCGATGCTTCTTTGAGAGAATTAGGTTTTGTGTTGTAGTATAATAAGAAAGTTTTTGATTATGCATTCACATCATCGAATCCACACAAGAAAAAATTATCTTACTCGTGATTTTGAGTTTGACAACTATTGTATTTGCATTGAAAAATATGAATATATTATTTATATTGAGTGAGATGTGAGATTTGTATGGATCATCATAGTTTAAAGTACATCTTCACTCAAAAAGAGCCAAACTAGAGACATATGAGGTGGTTGGTGCTGATCAAAGATTTCGACCTTAATATTTTATATCTATCAGTAAATAAACTGTAGTAGGATATGATTTGAGTAGAACTTATATTAGTGCAATAACTTATATGATTACAATCTGACGAAACTCTACTTCGAAAGATGTAGATGTTGGAGTTGGAACTTATTCATTATGGTGATATGGATGTAGTAGTTTCATAGATGATTTTTCAAGGTTCTATACAAGAAAATAATAATGAAGCTTAGAAGCTAGATGATGAGCATGTCATATTAGTTGATCACATACATTCATGGAGGAGACATGAGTTAAATGTGGATGATCTTGAGATGTTGACTTATGAGTATCAACTTTAGTTTCTAGCAATGGGTGATCCGATGAATGAGATATTACATTTAAAAAATATATTAATTTTTACAATGGGTGATATGATCAGGAGATGTCGAGTTATATTATTTATATTATTTTTTATATTTTATTTAAAAAATATTAATTTTATTCTTTTTGAAAAACTATTTGGGTGATATAACCATAACAAAAATCTAATTTGAAGTGTTAAATATGAAAATATATAGATTTGTTAAATATGTACATATATAGATTAAGTTGATAATTGCTCATAAAATCCTCTTCCTATCATCTCTTCCCACCAATAACCTCCCATCTTTAAGGGGTGTTTGGTTGCATGAAGGATTTAGCGGCTGCATGAAGGATTTAGCGTTAGTAAGATTTAATCAATCTAAATTTGTTAAATCCACCCTCTTGTTGGGTTTATTAAATCCAGATTTAGCATTAATTGAAGACAAAATTCAAACATTCAATCCAAAATTTCATAAATCTACGAACTTGTGTTTTTCTCGTGTTTGGCTGGATTTAATAGATGTTGCCCATAAATCTTATTAACATGGAGCCATGATATGCCCCCTTAGCCTATAAGTCTTAGACATGCAAATACATGAGAATTGGTTGGCATGTATGCAAATGTTTCAAAATTTAGCAACTGTTGCATCTGTCCACACCTTGCATAGCTTACATCCACCTAATTTTTAGTCCCACATCTTGTGTTTTATATTTGGAAGAATACAAATGTTTTTAAAAAGTAAAACAAAACATAACTAAATTAAAAAAAAAAAAAACTAAAAAAATTAGACTTCTAACACCCCTGATTCGAATAATTTGAACAATTAGCAATAATAATAAAAAAAAAAAACTAAAAAAATTAGGCTCCTAACACCCCTGATTCGAATAATTTGAACAATTAGCGCCAAACTTAAATGAATCGAATCGAACACGACCATATATTTCAAAAACAATTTCCAACATGAGCTTATTTCAAAAAAAAAAAAATTCAAACGAGCCGAACACGAATAAAAATTAGCCTCGCTCATATTTAGCTCGTTTACACTACTAGATGAATGTCCCGACTTAATAGCTATTGCGCTTTTCACATTATCATAAAAAAAATCAAGAGATCATGGTTTACAATCGTACATTCCCTACCCCTACACATTTTAGCTTGAGATTGGTGAAGGCCTTCATTGATATGATATCATTAAGAAAGAGTTCAAATTAGAATCAAACAGAACCGAACATGTTTTTCTTTAATTAATTTAAATGATAAAATCATAAAATTTAAATTTTAATATATAACCTAAAATCTCAATCCATATTTTTTATTTTTATTAAATTGTCAACAGTTTCATCGCGCATGCCTAAAAACATAGGTTCTATGTTTTAAAAAAATTACCTTGATTGTTCATTTATAAATAATAATGTTTGGGGTGGCCTGCATGTAATTATCCCATAAAACAAAGGGCTTTGGGCGCGCCGGAAGATAGAGTTATACGTACATATGTACATCGGCCGGTCCGCATTTTTCTACTTAGCGAAGACGGGTGCCGCAAAGAAGGGTTTCGTCGCTTCAGGGTCTCTGCTTCCACTTCTCAGCAGCGGGTGTGTGGAGACGAGCGCGAGAAGGGGAGTTGATAAGAAGGGAGAGAGGAGGAGGAAGAGGATGAACGGCGGAGGTGGCGGGGGAAGCAGGGGTAACGGCGCCGTGTCGGCAGCAGAGATTCCTTCTGGGGTGAGGAAGATGGTGCAAAGTCTCAAGGAGATCGTGAACCTTCCCGACCAAGAGATCTATGCTACGCTCAAGGAGTGTGGGATGGATCCTAGCGAGGCCGTGCAACGACTTCTCTCTCAAGGTGATGTCTTTCTCCCTGTTCTTTCTTTGCCATCTCCGTCTCTTTATGAATCTGTTTATAATTAATCGGTGCATTTGTCTGAGGAACCCTAGGAAGTAGGAGATATAGTGGAGTTATGGTTCGGGAGTTTAATGGTTCAAGTTTATGTTTCGTTGTGGGGCTCCGGCTGTTATCTGAGTTGGGAGGATCAAAGGAGTTATTGATAGTTGGATTTAGGATTTCTCTGCTCGTTTTGTGCTGAATTTTTAAAATTGAGTGTACAATCTGGTTGTTCTATTTTTCTCTGTACTACTTGATTACGATACACTTTACCGGGTGCTCTACTCGTGCATCTGTACAATTTTTTTGGCCTGGAAGATGAGACCAATTTATTCCTATATTGGATTTGGGGAAGCGGGTGGGTATTTCCAGCACTGAATCCCTTACTGAACAGTGGAGGCTTTGGTAGCTCTGTTTCATTCAATTTTTTTGCTTGAAGACTTTGAAATATGTTGAAAATTAAACCTAATTTTATCTTCTATTTTGCTGGCAATATTTTTTTGTTATCCCCGATTTCAACGCTTCTATTTCAATTCCTCCTATGCTCGATTCTCCTGCTTAGCAGAGGAATTGCCTCCCATCGGTTTCCTTCAAAGAAGGCGAGCCTTTTCTTAAACGCAAAAGTATCTATTGAGATGGTTGAACTAATCATTGAGCATTAGTCAACTAGGATAATCTTGGAACTGACTGGATGCTCTGTGCATTATAAGCAGAAGGCGGGGGCCAAAACATTAATATTTATATATAGTGGAAACTGAGAATGACAAAGATCTGAAAACTTCAATACAGAGAGGACCTGCTAGAGGTTTAGTTCAAATAGATTAGGTTGATTTAGGTCCATTTTAATCCTATGCATATTTATGATCTGTTTGGGGCAGCTGCAACTTATCCAACTCACCTGATAAGTTACTGAGTAACAACTTATCCATATAAGTTGACTGGCTGTTTGGGGCAGCTGTTTGAAAACAACTGATTTGGAGCTGTTTGTGGATAAATGACTATTCTGATCCTGATAAGTAATACTGTTTGTAGCAAAACTTTGTTGGCAATATATTTGATACTGCAGAAACAGAAAAGTAAATTTTACCTATGTTTTGAATCTTTTGATTTTTTATCTCTAAAAGCCTCAGAGTACTCTCATCATACTTAATTAGCTAGACGTAGTTTTTCATTATAATATATAAAATTGGAGGTCAAAGATATAATTTGATGCGGCATTGGTCATTGGAAACTATAGTTTGTTTAGCCATTGTGCAGATGTTATGAAAACTTATTGGCTTCAACAAGAAAAAAATCAATAGCGACGTTCTCTCATACAAAAATAAAAATTTTCTGACAACTTATTGGCTTCAACAAGGAAAAAAAAAACTCAGACAAAATAAACGTCCCTTCAACCTTACCTCAAGGTATTGAAGGAATTCGCCCTCCAAGAGGGAACGTAAGCCATTTTTGCATAGGATGGCCACGGAGCTGGCGAGCTCGGAGACCAGGGAGAGATTGCTTTCTCGCCTAGAAGGATCTCAGTACAGGAGACGAAGGCGCTCCAGCTCTGAAAAATCTCTCCAATGACCTGCTTGCTCAATGAATCAAGAATCGAACGTCGACTGACATTGGAAATTAGGTGAGAAGTGGATAGAGAAAGAGATGGGAGGCGGGCAGAGATTATGGAGAAGGGAAAACGACGAACGCGTGAACTCAAAGTTTGGAAGCCGTGATTCCTTCGTTACCATCCCATCTATGTAGGGCGAAGCTTTTTTCACAAAGTCGATGCTTTTGATCGTGAGAGAGAAGGGATCGTGAGAGAGACGAGAGCAGCGGGGGTAAAAGCTGCGAAGGAACGCGGGCCGCGAGGTCCCGTGGCCGCTTTTATTAAAGAATTAAATACGCTGTTTTCTAAACCGCGAGGTCCCGTGGGCGTGGGTTGGGATTCAAGATCATAAGATAGAAGTTATGGCATTGGTGTCCGGGGACAATATTAATGGTTACTGACAAGGAAATGGCTGCAATGAATGATAGATGGGATGAGAAAAGGACAGGAGATGAGGTGGAGGTGGTCCTTTAGATCGGAAGTGGTGGATGATAAAGTGCGGAGTAGAACAAGAAGAATCAAGGGAGTTGACTTTGGAGTGTGTTTTGGTTTGGGATTTGCATGGTTCTTGGTCAAAATCTGAACTATTTTCAGGACTTCCTTTCACATTGTTTGGTATACCTTTGCTCCCTTATATGAAGTTTATGTTTGTCTAAATTGTCAATTGCCACAGGAACATAAAAATTGGGTTGAAAACTGCCACTATATGACATAATTTTTATGCATGGTCTGTTCGGGACTGGGGGATTGCTAGTTGCATACATCTACATTTCAAAATACAGTTTGTTTGCTGGATTTCTCCGTACTTGGAACCATTTTCTGCAGTAGTTCACTGAAATCTTGGTTCCGAACTATTCATCTCCTTGCATTTGTACACATGCATGGTTTCAACTTATAACAAAATTGTCACGCCAACCCTCATGAGGATGTACTTTTGGGAGCTAGTAGAACCTTAGAAAAGTGCATCTTCTTATTTGTGGAAATAATTCTAGCAGCCAAGTATTGACGCATGAAATTTTTCTATGTTTACCTTGTAGGGTGGGCACTTTAACTAGTGAAAAAGGAGTTTTATTGCTTCAAACATCATATATTTTAATAAATATTAGAACAGGAATGGTTCTTCTCCAATTTTTTACTCTACGATGTTGTATTTTTTCTTGTGCTCGGTAAAAATATCATTAATATTTAGGTTGAGTTGATAGAAATGAGAATGCTAAGACGGGCTTTGCAAAATGTGTTAAGATAAATTAATGAATGATTGTATTAAAGGAATATTTGGAATGGTTTCTATGGAAGGCGCAATAATTGAAAATATACCTTGGTGGTTCGGGCATGTAAAAAGTAAGATATAAAATGTACCCACTCTATATGTAGATATTGTTAGAGACATACTGCACAACATGGATAAAAGTTGTTCAAAATAATTTGTGAACAATAGTCTCAAAGAACAACTCAACTAGAATAAGTGGAAAATAAGGATTCATAAAGTTAATCCAAATTGTTGGTGCAGGATACTGATGATGATGGTGGTTTGAAATGTTTTAGCTGTGATTCATACTAAAAAACTTTGCATTTGTTTTGAGTTTACTCATGCATTGCTCTCTTTAAATGATATTTTTTACATTTTGTGCTGTATTAAAAAATATGCTTTTGTAGATTCTTTTCATGAAGTGAAGAGCAAACGCGACAAGAAGAAGGAGGTTAGTTTTATCTTAAATTTATTTTGTATTTTGCTTTTTTACATGTAGCGGATCTGGAAAGTTTTGAAAGTTGAACTTCTTTCAATCATTTGTTGAATTTACCGATTCCAAAATTTTCCTCATTTGTCTTTTGAAATAAATATAATATTAACATTTTAATAGTTAGAAGTAAATGTCAAAAGTGGCTCTAACCTTTTTATGTATGTTCATTTTAGTCCCATACCTTTTTAGATGTTTAATTCAATCTCAAAACTCGCCAAAGTTTAGCCAAATTGGTCATGACATCAATTTTGTTTTTTATCTGGATAAAATTTGCCCCCAGGAAAGTTTTTATTAGGGCATTTTGGACTTTTTTGAGTAAATCCCATGACATACTTGTTCAAATCAACCAGACACCTAAAAATTTAAAATGTACTTATGGAGAGTTTCTCTCCACCAATTATTTTGTTCAAAGTAACAATGGTGTTGATGGTAAGACCTATTTGGCTCAAATTTTGCGAGTATAGGGACTAAATTGAACACATAGAATAATCTGGGATTAAAGAACACAAATAAAAGTTAATGGAATATTTCAGTCTTTTACTCTATTGGTTTATATTTTATTCCTTGCTTCTTCTGCATGATCCATTCAGCTCCCAGGATGCATTTGTGGTTGGAATTTTCTCGTACTCTTGTAATTTATTTATAAACTCTTCTTTTATAATATTTTCTATAGAAATTGCTAAGCATGGTTTGAATTGAATCAGTGGTTTTTCCTTTGATTCTTCTCCAAACCTATTAATTTCCTCATCAACTGTTTTCTCCCTAGATGAAAGAGCCCCCTGATTCCAGGTCTCGAACCGCAACTAACAATTCTGGTCGCGGAGTTCGGGCCATCTCTGATCGTGTGCCTCGATCTAGCTCCACCCAAACCAATTCAAATGGTATATCAAACATTAGCTACAAATCTAAGATATATTTTTAATACTGATTTTTTTTTTTATGAATCATAATCATTGAATTTGTTGTCCTCCTTTCAGGTTATTATGAAAGCAGTCGTGGTAGAAAATCAACAATTACGAGGTTTTTACTGTTTTCATCTTTTTTTTTCTCCAGGAAATTTGGGACATAAATGCAAATTGCCAACTAATAATATGTCAATTTTTTATAATTCTCTGATTATCTGTTGCAACAATGTCTTATTTGTAGTCCATAATTTGTATTTTATTCTTTTCTATGCTTAGAAGACGTTATGTGCATATATATATATATATATATATATATCTTTTAGAAATCTGTTTGTATTGGCAAGCTGTTGGTTGAATTTAGTATCCTTTATTGAAGTTTGCGAAGCATTTTTGCAGAAGTATGTCATCATGAATTTTCTGCAAATTAAAAATATTTTCCACTCAAATTTTTTTTGTCTATTGTCCCTTTCATTATCTTCCCTCTTACTGGAAAGGCATTGGAAAATTTGAACTGATGTACCTAAACAACTAATCATAAAACTCAAGCTCATCCGTAATCTCTCAACCATCTCCTCTCACAAAAAAATTGACTCAACACTTTCACATCCAGTGAAATTAATTATTGGAAAAAACACTAACATTCTCCGGCAATTCAAGGATACGAAGGCTATGTACGTTAAGGTTTGGTTGAACACACCCGGGTACTGACCTTTTCCTGTGGTACTTGCATCAACCTTTCAATTTTGGTGGCTAACAAAAATACATGAATAATTTAATGCATTTCTTGAAAATCAGTGTTTGATGACAAAAATGTTGTTTTTATGTAATTCTCCAATATTCTTAATTGTGATATATCAATTTAGTTGATGATTGGAATTCATTTCTTGTGTTACATTTTAATTTTAACTCGTACATTCTTTGTGGTGTTCATTTTGGATTTTTTGCTTGGTTTTGGTGCAGCAAAAGTGCAGCTTCGGAAAATCTTCCGCAGGTAATTGGCTCAGTTAATGGGAGTTCTCAGCACTCTCAACCACCATCAGCGTATCCACATACTTGGGCTGGGATGCCTGGACATGTTTCCATGGCTGATATTGTTAAAATGGGTAGGCCTCAAGGCAGGCTGTCTACTTCAAAAGTTCATGTTTCTCATAATCATGCAGCATCAGATTCAAGTGACAAGTATTCAGTGAATCCAGTTCGGCTACCTGAGTTGGATCAGAGAGTCCATATTTCTGATGAGTTTGTTGAGGATATAGATATTGAAACTGAAACAACTAGGAATGTGCATGTTTCTGATGATGGTTGGCCCTCTGTTGACCAGCCCAATTGTGGAACTGCTTCAGCCATTCTGGAAACTTCTGGAGCTGCTACCTCTTATTCTGATGCATCTAAGGTTGAATTGGTTGTTGATGAACCTCTGTTGCATCAGGCTTTAAATGAAGATGAAAACCAGGAGCTGGATCAAAGTTCTAATTTTGAAAGTTTACCAGAATCTGAATCTGTATCTGATAGAGAAATTCAGGCGAACAGTTCTGAAGATTTATCCAAAGTCAATGATGGCTCACCACAAAATATGAGTGTTTATTCGTCCCAAAGGCATTTATTTGAGAAGCAAGGTTAGCTTTTTCTATATTTCATTTTTCTGATTTTATTGGCAATTTTAGCTATTATCTTGAATTTTTTGTAATCAAAGTTTTCATCCAGATGAATTGGTTAAGTATAATATAATTATTCTGTGTTTTGTTTGTTGTATATGCTTCTAGATTAACGAGCATGCTCCTTAATAGCTCTGGCTTTCCATGGATTGAACTGGTAGCTTACTGATTAATGAGCGGTTGTATTTATTTATCTATCTCCGAGACCCTTTTTTTATTTGGAGTCATGTTTGGCTGTTTGCATTGTTTTTGTTTATTTTTATGCAATATTACCAAACTAGGGCAAACACACGTTTAAAATGTTAATTTGGTAGAATACTGATCTAGTTGCTTGAGAAACTGGCATTTCTTCTAGCCAGTGGTGGAATTTTTTGATAGCATTACATTTGGGCGGGTGTAATTTCTCCTAAAATTTAGCTGATACAAATTCTAAACAGGCATGTATTAACTTTCATGTTCTATATTAGCGCTGGAAGCTTGTTGATTCAGTGTCAGATGGAGATTTTATCTTTTTGTCTAGGTAGATTTTATTTTTGGTGCATTTACAAATATACCACACAATTCTTATGTATTTACTTATCTAACCCTAAACTTCACTTTTTTACATTTATACGGCCCAAATCTTTCATATCACAAAAAAATACCACCATTTTAACATAAAAAAGTAAAATACACTTTCTCACACATAGGTAAGGTGATACGCTTGTAAAAATTGAAGTTTAGGCGTTAGATATGTAAATACATAGGAGTTTAGTGGTATGTTTGTAAATCTTCCTTTATTTTTTATTTCTCTATCAGCCTTGTAGTTTTTGGAGGCATGTTGGAGCTATTTTAATTTAATTATGGAAAGATTTATGCACTTTATGAAAAACACAGTTTTAAGATGTTTTTCTGTTAATATGTTGATCAACTTACTTTAGAAACTATTGTGAGTTGAAAGTCAGTTTTGAAAAAAAATTATGAACTCTATTATTACCGGGCATCTGTGTTCCTCTTATCTATCTTCTCTCACTTTCTTTATTTCTCAAGCAAAGCTGTTGCATTTCACTTCATGGAATCTTTTTATATTGTCCAGACGAAGATGTCGATGTAGAAATTTCATCAGCTGCTGCAGATTTGCAGAATGTCAAACTGCAAAATGATAATCTAACTGCACCATCTTTGGAGGATAATCCTGCTGTAATAATTCCTAGACATCTGCAGGTTACTAATGCTGACTGCTCGCATCTGAGCTTTGGTAGTTTTGGGTCTGGATTAGGCTCTTCCTTTTCTGGATCATCACTACAAAAACCGCTGCATGATCATTCAGAGGCCACTAAGGTCCCCGATGAAGTTCCGTCAATTGATCATTCAGAAGCCAGGTACCACAGCCATATGCTATATTGGGAAATTTACATACGCACCATGCAATTCTCATGGATTTACATATCTAACATCTTAGGTTTGATATTTACATTTATCACACCTTGGTGTTTTAAACCTATGCATACAATGGTGCATTTGACTTGTAAAAGGTTATTAAGAGTGGTATTTTTGATGTGATGTTGAAGATGTGTGTTATGAATGTAAATATTAAAGTTTAGGTGTTAGATATGAAAATACATAAGAATTGTTTGTTATGCATGTAAATGTCCCGATTATCTTTATATGATTTTGAGCTATAAGATTTGATGCATCACTTGCAGGAACTCTAACTACTATGATAATGATGAACTAAAATCCCAAATAAATGAAGACGCAGTTTCAAGTGGCGTTATGAATACTGTGAATTATGAAATGCCTTCAGCTTCAGAATCTGAGCTCATCAGGGATGATACAGTGAATAATACACATGAACTGCAATACAGTTTTCCTTCATTATCTGGTTATGGGGCTTCAACATCAGCGCAACACAGTGCTACTGCATTTTCCCATCCACAAACTAATTTACAAATGCAAAATTTTACCTCTTTGTCAACTCTAATGGTAATCTTTTATCTTTTGGTCTCTTTTCTGACTTCTTAATCATAAACCCTCGTTACATAGGTCTATAATATTTTTTTTAAAATCAAAATTGAACATTTACTTTATTTTTTGCCATGGAAGCCAAGGAAATTGTTCTTTGAATTAGTTTCTCTGCTTATTTTTGAGTCAGTCTTCTGGTGTTTCCAAACTTAACTGCCAATTCAGTCTGTTTAACGCCAACCATGATGGGCCCATTGAGCCGCTCATAATTTTCATTGATATGCCACCTGTTATCATTTATTATTATTTTGTCTTTCCTTTATTTGTCTAGCTTATCTATGTATTTTCTCTTAAATCTCTTAGGACTCATTTGTCATCATTGTGGGGATTTTGTCCATGTCTTCTATTCATATGAGTAGCCCTTGTAAGTATAATTGGTCCTAATTTTGATTATTGTCCTTTATTCTCGGTGGATTCCAGCAAAAAAGACCTTCATGGAGTTGCTGTGGAGCCCTATTTCATTTGATACTTTTATAGATCCTTATGAGTTCAAGTTCATTTCTCCCTGTTATATTTGGTTATTTCAAGTTCTGCCACCCTTGTACTTGATTTGCTACTGTTTCTTGCCCTTCATCAGCTTCTTAGCATGACCCATTTCCACCATTCTTCCTATGCACCTTTCTATCAATTTGGTGTTATATCCTGCTTATTGAACCTGGAAAGCACTTTTCTCTTCGATGATTGCTTTTTTCCCTACTGTTCTATTATCTTATTGCTTTTCTGTTTTTTGCTTATTTCTCTACTATTCTCAGCTTCTCACAATTTCTACCGATTTTGCACTTTGCTACATTAATGCAGTGATTGAAATACTTTTAATTGATTTATATACCAGTAGGAAATCTGAAGGAAAATTTTTAGAACCTTTCTGAATCCTTTTTAGACTGTCATTATGGTCTTATGCAATAGCATTGAGAGAGAGGTTGGCTATGGATAAAAAAAAATTATGAAGATCATTTCTCTATGTTGTATGAATCTCCATTCATTTTGTTTACATAAACAAAAAAAAAAGTTCATGTTAGTTCATTCTGGCATAAAATTTCATTATCTTTCTAAACTTATGCTCCATTAATTTTCCTTGGATCTTCATTATAAGATTTATAATTTAATTCCTCATATATAATATGGATATTCCAAAATTTTGCTTATGTAGTCATTTGACATCTTTGTAGTCTTCAAAATTTCATTGAAAAGATTGATTAACTAACTACTGCAGTATCCTCTGCGGCTTGCCAAATTTTAATGGTTATCTTTTTTGGATCTAAAACATTCCCTTTATGTAACTTTTTATTTTTGCTTTTTTGGATCAATCTATAATCTACTACACTATATTGTTTATTAATGTTTTTCAAAATAATTTTATTCTTTAAACACTTCTTTGATAATTTCTTGAAGTAGCATTCTCATCTTTTCTTTATCACTTCATCTTTAAGAAATTATTATTTTCACTTTTAATGCTTCTAATTTGTTAGAGTCTATCTTGACCTCTTTTCTTTTGTTTCAGTTATCATACATATTTTTTCTTCCTTTTCAGTACTAGATCTATTATATTAAAACTTATAACTTTTTCTCACTTTCTTATACTTTTCATATGACTTGTAGCTTTCTATAGTCATTTTAAGTTTTAATCATACAACCTTTTGTCATTCTTCGAAAGCACATCAAATAAAAATATGCACATCTAAATCCTTTTATAGATTATCCTATCAACCTATTTAAATTATTAGGTATATGCACTAGTTCATCCAACTTTTCACAAAATTGCTTTTTAAATTTTTCTTCTTTTTAACTTGAAGAGCATATGTATTTAACACAGTCATGATATTCTTATAGATGGTAATATTTTTAGTAATCATCTATCATTATTTTATTCATTTTACAAACTGATCATTCAATTATATATCACTATTTATTCCCTAGTCATGTCATCAACCTTCCTCATATACAATATGCGATGATTACCGTTAATTTCCTACAAACTCACTTGTTTTCTTCTAATTTTTGTGCGTATCAATTCTCTGATCTTTTTAATAAAAAAATAAATAAGTTTTAAATCTCATATTTAAATTTCTGATTATAGCAAATATTGAATATTTAAAATTTAAATGTTAAAATGCGATTTGAATTAAGTTCAAAATTTAGTTGTAAATAACTAATCTACCTTATTTTTCTACCCTTTAAAGTTGTCATCTGTTCCTACTCTCTCTTTTTATCAGCTACCTCATTCTATTTTCTCTCTTTCAGATTGTCATTTTATTTTATCCTTTGTCACTTTCAGAACATGAACTCAGGGAGGATGCTTGGTAATGCAAAAATGTGCTATAGTTTTTATCTTTAAAGAATGATCCCTTAACTAAGAAATGAGCTCAAATAACTTGTTGTGTAGCCACAAAAATGATCACTTTAACAGACACTTCAAATAATGAATGTGTGATTTTGCCACTATCGTCCAGGACACTCAAACTTTACTTAAACATTATTTTTCTTGTTTATTAACTTGCAAAAAAATAAAAGGAAAGAAAAAAAAAAGATTTTTAGCATGTAATTTGTTATATTGCTAATCGCACTAATAGATTCTATTCCTATTAAGCCTGTAAATCTTCTCAACCATCTGCTTTAGTCTGCTGAGATATGTAAGAAGTATGTATAGTAAAAAATGACTTTGTAGCTAGGTGTTTATTTCCTTTATTGATGATCATACATGTCTTGGTTTTTAGTTTATGTAATAAATTTTGAAGTTGGACAAATTTTTTAAATATTTCATTACCGTGATCCATATGCCTGTTAGTTTAAATTTTAGGTCCTAAAATCAACATTGCGAAAGAGTACTTTAAATCAGTCTTAGGAAATTATCTCCTATATGATAGGATTGTCCAACAAAGCTCGTGTGTTGACACCTAACAAAATGGGGATATTGAGAGGAAAAGTTGATCTCTTAAAGGTGGCTAGATCACTAATATTCTTCACAAATACCTCTAAATATCTTTGAGAAGTTATCTTAATAACTACATGTCTCATTTATAGAATGCCTTCAAATGTATTTAATTCTCAAACTACTGCTCAACATCTTCTCTTTTCATTTTCCAACCGAAAAATAAATTAAAATTATATAGACGAAACTTACTACAATTACATAATTGAGGGGGAGGAAATTAAAAAAAAATTATTGTTGAAATTTTATTTGATTGTATACCATCTTCTCTTAACAAACCCATTACTCTTTGTTTTTCATTCAGAATTCATTACTCCATCACCACCTTATTAGTTCATTGAATCTAGCCTCATCACAATTGCGAACTCTCTCATGATCTTATTCAGACACCCAGCCTATGCATGATAAGCTTTATGTCTATATTTTGTGGGGAAAGAAAAAACCAATAAGGGGGCAATCTACATATCTCCAGCACAAACAAGAATACAAACATGGTTTAAGAACCAATGAAATACAAACTTGTGAGAATAAATATATGGATACTGATATTGATATCTATTATCCTATGTTCTTAAGAAAAGGGATGATATCATGCACCGAACACCTAGTTTGTAATTTCTTGACTTATAATGTGCTCTCATAGATTTTATGCTTTTTTTACTTTTTTGTTAAAGCATAGGTTCCAAAAAATATTTATGAAGCTCTCAAAACTCTCACGTAGATGGAGATTGTAAGGAAAATTAGGAATGATTTATGGTCACATGAAGCAATTTGGAAGTCAAATACAATGTAGTGGTATTTATATTTGTGAAGAAATATTATTAAAAAGATAATTAGAATCAATAATCTATCAAATGAAAAAATATTTAAAATTTCATTGTGCATATTGCTACCATTAGTATTGAAAAAAAAAAAAAAACTATCCATGATGACAAAACACAATTATATATTCTGACATTTCACCTCATTAAAAATTGAAAATAAAAAAAGCCAACAGTTTCAACCGAATTATATTTCAACAAACTTTCAAATTACATATAGCTTCACCAAGGCTTGGAATGAGCTTTGATAATCTAATCTCCAAACTGTGCATGATTAACACATACAATTCAACTTGCAGGAGTGTGTTGAGTAATTCTGACCTTTTCATCTATACAATCTAGTTATCTCAGGACAATTTTTTATCTACATTAATCCAACAATTTGTGAACAACAAATTTTCATATACAATAATATCAGTCCCTGCACATCGGTTTTCTATTTCTACTGTACTTTATTTTGAATTGTAAAATTAAAGATTGGTCTTCATATTTATTTATTTCCTAGATAGTTATTTTTTCACTTATTGTTAGACGACTTCTTAATATCTTATTTACACACAATGATGGAATAAAATTCAGTTTTAAAATTCTCATTTTTACTTACCTTTTTTGTTATTTAAAATTTTAAGAACATTATACAATTAAATCTTATTTAGTTGCTGCCTGAATTATGTTGATCTGTTGTCAAATTTGAATTCTATCGAGTGAATTTGATTGGTTGTGAAAAATTTTGGTAAAAAGATTTCTCATTCCATTTGAATTTTTGCATATCTAACATGCCAAAATAATATTCATCATATCATAATGACTGCGTTCACTTCTAACAGATGGAGTAGTGAGGAGATCATTTTAAATATTAGTATTTTGATGATGGTTCTGACAAAGCATTGTGTTATTTTATGTTTGATGGGGGATGGGAACCTTTATATTTCCTGCCTTGGTGAGCTTACTTGAGATATTTTCTTGATTGACTCCGTATATTTTGACGATAGTCATTGACATGGGGCTAGAGCGCCAATTATCTGAACCAACTGGCAAAAAAACTTCCAAGGTAGACTGATTCAATGGGAACGGGCGTTGGACCGAGTGAGATTTATAAGGGGCGGGACTGCCACTGCCCCCATTCCTTTCCTTGCGTGATCTCGTCCTATGGGAAGTCTTTAATTGCTGTTTCTGGATTTGGACTGCCGCCCACTCCTTTCCTTTTGTGT